GATTATGGCAGTGAGGTTTATTTAGATTTAGGGCAACAATCCGCCTAAGAGAAGTAGATATCTCGTCATAGACTACACATACTTTCCTTGTTGAATGTAAATTCAGTTCGTTATACATTGATCACGATACTCGAAAACATAGCGAATGAGAAAAAAGAAAAAAAACACGAAAGTGTACTTCCCAGTGCCCGAGTTTGTTTGTATGTTGTATCAATCCATAAAACTCCAACACTAATTAACATGACTACAGTGAGATAAATGACAAAAAATGACAATTAAGGTAACTGCTGAGTTTAGTCGCTATTAAGCATGCGCAATTTACTGCAACAGAGAACATTTTGAATAATTATCCATCCCACATGGATAGCAAGCCATCTGTTGCATAAAGCCTGGTTTCCATATAATCGTTACAATCGCTAGGATCGCCACGATCGCCGAAAATTTCAACGATCGTAGCGATCATATAGAAACACTCTCCAGCGATCCTGGTGATCCTAGCAATCTCGATCTCGGCGATCGAGGTTGCTAGGATCGCTGGAGAGTGTTTCCATATGATCGCTACGATTGTTGAGCCACATTTTCGGCGATCGTTGCGATCCTAGCGATTGTAACGATTATATGGAAACCAGGCTTTTAAGCGAGTTCTGTTATCCGTCTTTGTTTGCTGCAAAACCTAGTGAAGGTCTATGATGCGACACTAAAACTGAGACCTTCGCTAGTGTTGGGTTGTCTCAATGGTGACGACCGAGTTGTAAATCTGATACACCACTAGTGTTGTATCAGATTTACAAGGTCAGTCACCTGTAGCCCCCTAGCCCCCCCTGCTCCGCGGTCCATGCTATTTCAAAAAACGTTGTCGTCACCACGACACAGTCCACAGTCTTGAGCCTGCAAAGAATCTCGGGGTTTCCATGCGTAATTAATATTCAAAATATATCGTGGTTTGAATTCAATGCCGGCAAGCACTACTAATAAATATACTATTGCGGGCATGTCTCGCCACGAGACATTTTCCTTGAAAAATATTCCATGCTTTCAAACCGTCAATACGTTTCAAAGCTATATTCGCTACGAGACAGAGAATAATCCAGTTTCGAATTCTCTAATGCTGTGTCAGCCTCATTTATGTGCAAAATATTCCTAATTGTACTGAATAAAAGTGTGAGATTTCAAATCAATTCTATTGTCTCTCTTTTCAAATTTCATGCGTTTTCTCGGGCTGTCAATGAAACAAAAGAATAAGAGGGCCTGATTATATGAAGCGGGCTGGCCCGGTTGACC